CTCGTGGCCAGCGCCGCGGCCTCCAGCCGCCTCTGCAGGCGCCTGCACGCTCGCTACGAGCTGTCCTAGGCCGGGCCTGGGGCACAGCGGCCGCACAGCGCGGGGCCTCCCCGTGCACCGGGAGCCGCGGGGCGACTGCGGCCCGCGCGGGGCGGCCGCTCGTTGCGGACTCTGCCACGGGACTCCCGTCTAATAAAGGTTTTGGGGTGTTTTTTCTATTTTTTGGCCGCTGTAGGGAACAGCTCGCCCCTCGGGCCGCTCGCTGCACGCGGCGGGGGCGGGAGGGGCCGGGCGCTCCGCGGCCCCCTCGCGGCCGGGCCGGGGGCCGGTGCTGCCGCCGTACAAGATGGCGCCCGCCTCAGCGCGCCGGTGGCGGCACTTCCGGACAGCGGATTGGCTGCGCGGGACCAAGATGGCGGCGCGCTGGGTGTTCACCCCGCCCCCGGATTGGCTGCCAGCGTGCAAGATGGCGGCCGGGGGGCTTCCTGCCGCGGCGGAATGGCGGCCTCCAGCCAAGATGGCCGGAACCGGCCTCCGTCGCCTGCAGCCAAGATGGCGGCGTGCGAGAAGCGGCGCGCGGCGGCCCCSCCGGTGGCGGCGGCAGCCCGGGAGCTGGACAGCGAGGCGGAGTTCCTGCTGCAGGCGGGCGTGAGCGCCATGGTGCGGGAGGCGCTGCTGAAGGTGCTGGAGGCGCGGCCCGAGGAGCCCGTCGCCTTCCTGGCCGACTACTTCGAGAAGCTGGAGCTGAGCGGCGCGGGGGGCGAGGCCGGCGCGGAGCCGCCGGGGCTGCCGCAGCGCTTGGCCCGCGCCCTGTGGTACGTGCGYCTGGCTCATCACTCCCACAGGTGCGGAGCGGCGGGGCGGGATGCGGCGGACTACAACTCCCGGCGTGCCCCGGGGGCGGCGGCTCGCGCGGGGAGGTGTAGTCCCCGGCGCGGGGCACGCCGGGAGTTGTAGTCCGAAACGGGAGGAGGGCGGCCTAGCCGGTGTCTGACGCCCGTGTCGCACAGGCCGGCGTTCAGCAGCAACGTGGCCTTGGCCTACGAGTGCCTGAGCGGCGGCGGGCGGCGGCGGCGGGCGGGCCTGGACGGGCGCCTCTTCAGCGAGCTGCTGCGGCGCGTGTGCCGCCCGGGCCCGGCGCCCGCCGAGGCGGTGTCGGCGCTGCTGCGCAAGGTGCAGTGCCGCGAGCACGAGGCCGTGCCGCTCGACGTGTTCCGCTACGGCGTGCTGAGCTGCGCCGTGCTGCGCGAGTTCGCCGCCAAGGCGGGCGCGCTCTACGACGCGCTGGGCGGCGGCGGCCCCGCCGACAAGCGGCTCTGCCAGGCCGTGCTGCGGGCGCTGGAGGAGGCGCTGGCCGACGGCGACCTCCCGCCGCCCGCACGCTACCTGGCGGCCGGCGCCAAGCTGGGGCCCGACGGGCTGGCGCTGGCCATGGAGCGGGCGCTGCGCGAGCGCAAGCTGAGCGCCGCCATGAGCAGGGAGGAGTTCCTGAGGAAGGCCGCGGCCCTCTTCGTCGCCAAGGTCAAGGCCGTGGAGTAGCGGCGCCGCGTGGGAGCAGCTCCCGCGGGGCTGCGGTCAGAGGGGGCTGCTCCGAGGAAGCTCCGGGTCCTGCCGCGGGGATGCACGGCAGGTCTACCCTGCTCCTCACCACGGGATCCTCCTGCGGATTGCTGCATCTCATCCCCTCTTCTGAGCACTCTYAGTGCCCGATTGCCCGTGACACTTGGTGTTTCTGCAGCCCGGGCKGCCTCTCGGAGCTGCAGCGCCTCCTCCTTCACGACTGGCACTGATAAACTTTTCTTATTTCTTAATTGAGGCCTTGCAGGGAGGCCATAAACTGTAGGGCAACGTTAATCCTAAACGAACCGAGATGGTTCGAGTGTGGGGCTGGTGCTCAGTTATCTTCCGTTTTCATTCCAGTGCTGTCAGTGTCATATTTGTGCAGCTTCAGCAGGGAACTTAATCTCTGCTTTTCATTTTGTTTTCCCCAAGCCTATAAAATGGGGGGGATGATGCTTATCTACCTCGCTGCTGTGAGAACTCGCAGGTAAATACTGGGCTGATGYGCTGTGTGATACTGTTTGTTATGCATTTAAAACACTTTGCTAGTGGCTGAAAAATGCTTGGCTGGAAAGCGGAATTCAGTGAAAGACCCRCGAGCCTAAAAGCCCGTTCTGCCCTGGCCAGTAGCTGAGCGGTGACGCTGGCCTTGCTGATAAACTCTCCTTTTGTTCCATTGTTCTGCACTTAACAAACTGCCTTTGGCTTCTGCGGTCTAGACTCCGAACGGTAAGGCTCAAACTTGACTAACGCTTTTCATTTTTCAAGCAAAACTGCATGGTCCTGCTGATTTGATCATAATCTGGGTCTTTAAACAACAGATAGAGTGGAAACCAACTCTGTTCCTTTAGGGGTCGTGTTTTGCTTTTAAATAGGGAAGTTTTTTTAACTATACGTTATTTATTTGTATTCGTCCATGCTGATTATTTATACCGTGTGAACTGTTGGTTTACTGTACTATATTAAAGCTTTTTTATTGTTATTATGATGATGAAGTGGCAGATTTATTCAGCGCTCGGCAGTGCCGAGCGCCCGAGGAGTAGGAGGCCCCGCCCCCCGCTGAGGTAACAAGGCCCTCGTGGGCCGCCGTCACGGAGCCCGCGCCCCGCGCGCCGCGCGCTCATTGGCCCGCGGCGCTCGGTGGGCGGGCCTCGCCCCGCGTGGGAGGACTACAGCTCCCGTGGTGCAGCGCGCGCGGAGAGCGGAGCGGCCGGAGCCGCCGCCGGGCCCGCTCGGTGCCGGAGCCGCTGCCCGCGCCATGGCGCGGCCGCCCGTGCCCAGCTCGCAGAAGGCGCTGCTGCTGGAGCTGAAGGGGCTGCAGGAGGAGCCGGTCGAGGGGTTCCGGGTCAGCCTGGTGGACGAGGCGGACCTCTACAACTGGGAGGTCGCCATCTTCGGGCCCCCCGACACCTACTACGAGGGCGGCTACTTCAAGGTGCGGGGGGCCCCTGGGCACTTCCGGCGGGGCCCGGCGGCGCTTCCGGCGGGGCCCGGGGCGGGCTCCCCCCCGTCCCGTTTCCGCCAGGCCCGGCCGCGGGGCGGGACGGCTCGCCCGGTTCCCGCGGCGCCCGGTTCCCACCGCGGCCGCGCACAAAGGCCGCGCGGGSAGGCGGGACGAGGGCGGCGAGCGCCGGGGGCTCCCGGGGAGGGGGCCGCGTCCCGAGCCCCCCGGGCGCTTCCCGGCCCCCCTCGGCCTCTCCCGGTCGCGGTCCGTGCACCGGGGAGCCCGTGGCGGTGCGTCTGTGCTGCGGCCGGAGCCGTAGGCTGCTGCTCGCTCTTTATTTGGGCACACGCTCTATTTTTAGCACCCGCGCTGCGCAGCCTGGTCATTTTGGCTTGTTTTTCAGTGGTGGGCAGCTATTTTTAGGGCTTCATCGGTGTTTGTTGATCACAAAGCCAGAGAGTCGCTTGGTTTTGTTCCCGGTTAAGCTCCAACAAACGGTGAGGAGCGTTTCCCCTGACGATGCCGCGTAGCCTGGGCCCTTGCAGCAAAAACAGGGAACAGGCCCAGTCCCCGGAGCCCCGCGTCCCTTCCGATGAGCGCGAGCCCCCGGTCGCCGCGGCGTTTCCGCAGGCGCCGGCTCGCCCTGGACAAGGACGGGCGTTACGGGATCYGCTGCCGCCTCTGCGCCGGCCGGGTCGAGGCGCTAATTGCAAAACAAGGAGGAAAGGGAACGGCTAACGGGGCTGGAATTTGTTTCTGAAGGGCTGAGGCGAGAAAAACATCCGGGGAGGAGCCCGAAGGGCTGGTTTGTTTGCGGGGAGCAGAGTGGCGCCGAGCTCTCGGTGCCCGGGCTCCCCGGCCCGCTCTGGAAGCCCCTTCCCGGGGCCAAGGCGTTTGCCCTGGTGCGTGCGCCCTGCTCCTGCCCTTGTCCTGCTGCCTCCTCCTCTCCAGGCTGCAGAAGAGGAGGAGGTTCCTTGATGACTGTAAATGCCCGGGCGCTTGGGGGGGCTGCACCACTGCGATGCACCCGGCTCGGCGGAGGTTCCTCTGCCCCGGCAGTACCGGCGGCTCCGCTGCCTCCTTCCCGTCCTTCCCAGCTCACGTCGTCTCCTCTCCGGTTTCTTGACAGGCTCGGCTGCGCTTCCCCATCGACTACCCCTATTCTCCTCCTGCCTTTAGGTTCTTAACCAAAATGTGGCACCCCAATATCTATGAGGTAGGTCTGGGAGCTGCTCGGGCGATGGGAGGGACGCTCCTGTTTGTTAAGTTCATTGTTATCCAACCCAGGCTGCTCCCAGGGCTGCTCTCAGCTCCCGGGCGTGGGAGCTGCCCTGCTGGGTGCTGCGGGACCTGGGCTGAGGCCAAGGGTCCGTGTGAAGTGAGCGGGTGGTTGCAGGGCTCTGCGGCGGGTGCTCGCTGGGTCCGGTGGTTGTGTTGTGTGGGTTGGGTTGTGTTGTGTGAGTGCTGTGGGCTGTGCGGGTGACTCCCGGGCAGTGGGTCCGTGCGGCGCTGGCACTGGGGCTGCGCTGCCTCCCTAAGGAGCCCGCTCCGCGTGCGCTTTCAGACCGGCGATGTCTGCATCTCCATCCTCCACCCGCCCGTGGACGACCCGCAGAGCGGGGAGCTGCCGTCCGAGCGGTGGAACCCCACGCAGAACGTGCGGTAAGGACGGGGCCGGCACGGAGCTGGCCTCATCCCACGGCACCTTTCCCTTACTCCCGAGGTTCCTCCTCCTCCTGAGGAGCTGTTCTCCATTGGGAGCACAGCTAAAGCCACCCAGGAACGTGAGCGAGCGGAGCATCCACCACACTGCCCTTCTGGGGGTCCTGTCCTGCAAAACACGTCCCCGCAGGGTGGGCCGGCACCGAGCTCGGGGGCGCGGGTGGCTGCCGCGGCACACACGTGTACCGAGCAGCCCCGGCGCTCACCCGCCCCTGCTCGCTTGCCAGGACCATCCTGCTGAGCGTGATCTCGCTGCTGAATGAGCCCAACACGTTTTCTCCAGCCAACGTGGACGCCTCGGTGATGTACCGCAAGTGGAAGGAGAGCAAAGGGAAGGATCGGGAGTACACGGACATCATCAGGTGCGTGGGAGCGGAGCCCGGGCTCGGCAGAGCTGCTGCTTAACGAGGGGAGGGCGTGTTTTAGTGGAGGGCAAGGAGCATCGTGCTCCTTCTGAAGAAGGGCCTGTTCCTCGCGGTGAGGAGCAGCACCGCCGCAGTGCTGAGAAGATTTGCAATTACGCTGTGATCTTGTGGGACGCAGCGGGCGCCAGCACCTCGAGGGCACGTCTGCCCTGCTTGCTGCCGTGTGCTGCCAGCAGGAAGGATCCTGGCCGTGAGCAGGGCTTTCCGGGGGAGCTTGGCCGCGTCACGCGCCTGGCTCTGGCGTCAGGCAGAGCCCTGGCTCTTCCCCACCCCAGCTGGGGCTCTGGGTACGTGGCCAACGTGCCAGCGCTGCCAGGGACCAGCTGGGAGGCCACGAGCTCCCGGTCGCTTGGCTTCGTGCTGAGAGCTGCACGGAGTGCCCAGGATGAGCCCAGAGCCTCTCCGTGCTCTCCCTGCAGGAAGCAAGTCCTGGGAACAAAGGTGGATGCCGAGCGGGACGGCGTGAAGGTCCCCACCACCCTGGCCGAGTACTGCGTGAAGACCAAGACTCCAGCCCCGGATGAAGGCTCAGACCTCTTCTACGATGACTATTATGAGGATGACGAGATGGAGGAGGAAGCCGACAGTTGCTATGGTGATGAGGATGACTCTGGCAACGAGGAATCTTGATGGCCTTATGGCACTTGCAAAACTTATTATAAACTACTGAATTTTACCTCAACTAGGACAAACTGGTTTGAACTTAGGATCTGTCAGCTCTGAAATTAACTCTCTACCTCGCAGGGAGACTGTTCTGCTGTTGTAAAGGAAAGCGCACCACTGTCTTTGTTTAAGAAAAAAGGAAAAACAAAAAAGGAAAAAAAAAAAAAAGAACACACTCAAACCCTATTTTATAAACTTGCGGGTGGGGGGAAGGAAAGTCGCCCTGAGGCATTCCCAAATCCGCAGTACCTGGGAGGCGGCAGCCCTGGCTGGACTGAGGAACGGCGGGAGAAGCTGGTGCTGGCTGCCCTTTGCCTGGGCTGGCAGGGAAGGGCTGCGCCGGCGAGTCACCACTTGGAGCCAGGGAATCGTCCCTTGGAGCCGGGGAATCGTCACTGCCGTGGCGGCGGCGCCCGCTCTTGCGCCGCTCTCTGTGCCCGGGAGCGTTCCGGGGGCAGCGAGGCCTCTCGGTGCTCCCCAGGGTCCCACGCGGCCGGCGGGAGGCGCAGTCGGTGCCGCTGGGCCCGGCTCCGGCGGCTCCGTCCCGCTCCGGCGGCTCCGTCCCGCTCCGGCGGCTCCGTCCCACTCCGGCGCGGCCGCGGGGCGCGGGGACGCCCCCCAGCAGGCGCAGGCCTGCGCGACAGGGCCCTGGGTGGTTTTTGACTAGACGGGAGGGGCGGGTGGTTCTGGATCCTTCTGCTTCTGTTTTTGGACGTTATTTAATAAAGTTCTTTCAGGGAACAAGGGTGTCGTGTGCGGGCGGCCTTGCCCGGGGAGAGCGGCTCCCCCTCGGGCTGCGGCCTGGGAGCCCCCCGGGGCAGGGGCTCTGTCCTGGGACAGGGGCCCCGGGGCGTCCCTGGCAAAGGCCCTTCCTGCCCCTTCCTCCGGGGCTCCGGGCCCCTCCGCACGGAGCGGGCCTGCCCGGGCAGCGCCTCCTGCTCCCGCCGGTGCTGCGGGGCCGCTGCGGGCCGGACGCCCTGCTCCGGCTCGGGGCGCGGGCTGCTCAGCAGGGTCCGTCCGCGGGCTCCCCGTGCCCTTCCCGGAGGGCTCGTCCCGCCCGGCCCTTCCCGGAGCGGCGGGCGGGCAGGATGCGCCTCGCGGGCGCCTTGGTGCGGCGCCTTCCTGCCCC